TACCACGTTTTAATAAAAAAATAAAATGACATAGAGACCACAATACCAGTCTTAAAACTCCGCTTGGAATTAAAAGATAAGTAGAATAATAGTCTCGTGTGTAGAAATATGCGATAGTAGCATTTTATACGGATAATGCTTCGTTTGTGGTTTTACAACACCTCTCAGACATGAATACATTATTATATAATTATACAGTTCTAATACAAGAAACAAAAACAAAAAATGAACAAAGTAAAGACTTACAACATAACAAAACTACAAAGGAGAAAGCAGGCATTCTAATATGACAGAAACTTTATTACAGAAAACATGTATGTATATCTATGTTTTGTTTACAAGCTAATTCTCTTGTTTAAACATATTCTCTGGGCAGTATCAAAGAAACGTATTTAGTCATGACATTTGTAGTTTTGCCTTTTTCAACAATGCAGATTATCTGTTTGTTTTGCTTCCTTTATTCATAAAATGTTTTCGTTGTTGTAACATTTGTAAATGAAGCAATAACACGTGTAGTCTTCATACAGAATGAAAAATGCAATACAAAGTAACGTCCTTTCCTTTCACGACAGACAAAAAATACAATACATACATTCCTTTTGATGTCTTCATTTCCAATACCTAAACGTTAGAATGAAAACTGTTAAAATTGATAACATTTTCGTATCTTTGTCATATCTGGTATATATCTCATATTTAGATATATTTTTAATGGTGTATAGGATATTCAAGGCAGGAAGAATTTAATACTTTCCTAAACACGATCTCATATTCCTCATCATAAACGTCGTGTTTCCCATAATAATGTTTACAGTCATTTTATCATGGTATTAGTGTCATCAAGAGATGAACACCGCTATCTACTGCACACTAGCAAGACAGCCATCGTGTTTACATTTATACAACGGAAAATAAGTACATACTGTATATCAATCGTGAATAGAAATTGAGCATTTCTAAAATTTGAATATCGAATCAACTGTGACATCAACAAAGAAGGGATCCCATTACGGCCCATAATTGACTACAGTCGTTCTATTGGTGACAATTTCTCCAGATCACTTGCAGGCATTTCAGGGCCCTCAGTGGGGAAATCAAAGCATTCTGTCAAACAATTCAAAAGACCATGCAGAAAGTATGTCGGCGGTACTTATTCAAATTGATCAGGGATTTCTTATACACAATGTAGTGTTTCTTGCCACCAATACATCATGTGACAAAGCATGTGGTATCGTTCTGAACTACCTATAACAAGACTGCACATTGCGAAAGAACACCAATCTCCATATCTAGAAGTTTTGCTTACAACATCATGTTTCCAAGATACCTTCCATCAACAACGGTTTGGCACAGCTATGGGAATCCAAGTGTCTACAATTTGGACAAATCTATTCTCTTCCAAGAGAAAACTTCATCAAAAATAAGACAAAATAAGAACAAAAGAAATATTGACCCAGAGACTCCTGAAAAAGTACAAGAAAACGATATCTTGATGACATATTGGAAGTAGCTATGAAATGGTTATTTAATTATTTGACTTGGTTTGATTGGTCTAGTGGCGCAGTGGTAACGCACTCGCCTTTCACCTTGCCTCCGGCGTTCGATTCCAGAAATGGATGTGAAAAGGCATGGGGTCACCTGCCCGACCACGGGGGTTTTCCCCGGGTACTCCGGTTTCCTCCCACAGTAAGACCCCTCTCGCGCTTCCATCCAAGCCAAAAAGAGTGCTTGATTTAAGTTGAAAAAACTTGCTTCGCAATTGTTGTAAAATAAATAAAGTTTATTATTAATGATTTGCCTGAGCATATCCTACTGCAGATACAGCATTTAACCAAGAAAATACAAACATATTTAGTAACAATGTATTCCCTTTTTCGTCACGTTTTATTTCAACTCTACAGGAGGAATATTTTAGCTCAATTTAAGGCAGAGCGTATTTTTACATATTTTTTATTTTCCTACTGCAGATACAGCATTTAACCAAGAAAATACAAATATATCAACGAAGCATAACCCAATCTCAAATTCAATAACACTAGGACAAAATCTGAACAAAAGTATATCTAAAAGGAGACACTTGAAAATGTACAAGGACAACGAGAGCAGGTGTTCCGGAAGAGTAGCGTCTTCTGCTTCATCAAGGACTCTCGCCATGTAAATCTTGGTCAATCCAAGCAAATGAAAATAAAATGTACGACAACGGAACAAACATGCAAACTAACGGGAATCAAACGCTCTAAGTTCCATATTACATAAAGAAGTATTTTCTCAATGAGATCACTGCGATGACTGGAAAACTTCCCTACAATTTTCATCAATTTGCATCTTTTGAAATTCTTGTGTTATGAGTTTGTCCGTCAGTTGTCGCCTCCTTGCACTAAATCCGTGACAATGAGAAAAGACAATTTAACAGCAAATTAACTGTGTCATTTAAACATATAAAATTCATAATAGGAAATTAAATCATCGCGTTTATCATATAGCTTCGTGGAAAGATGCCCATGTTGATTTCATTGAAAGAAAAAATCGAGATAAGCGTCTGATGTAGAGCAGTCGGAAGTGTCCTTGATTTCCGTTTATTATGGGTGTATGCGATGGACGTGGTCAATAAATATTCTGATTATTTAAAGACAAGACGTCATCAATATTCCTGAAAGTTAAATTAATCGACTTAGCAAGGTCTTTGTGACCCGCTTTGATAATCTCTTAAAAAAATTCAGTCTCGTTTGAAAGCAAACACAAGTCAGCCAATAGAGGGCTATAGTGAACATCGTTGATTCAATACAGTGTATTTCACCAATTTAAGGTCTTTGAATCGTGTATTTTACTAATAAGAATGCAATGGGGATGGGTGATGAGTAGGATTGCGTCTGTTATTGACAATGAATACATTTGACATTTCAGATATATTCAAAATACGATTAAGTGTTGATTATGACATGTATGTTGATCTACCGTAATAGATTCCTGACAATCTTAATCTCCTAAATGATTGTTGTAAAGCTATGGTGTGCGTTATTCAACTATGAAGCGACTTGTAAATCGTTTATGTAACGCAAGTCTATATGACATCACGTTTTTGTGATCTGGAATGTTGTCTGAACACCTTAGTTAATGAGAGGTCACCATGCAAACTGTAAATATACTGTAATGGTAATAGGAAACACAAATGTACTAGAATTTAACAGAGACCATCACCATAGTTTTAATAAAAACATTTTTATTTGAAGGTGAGAAGGATTGCCGTCTATGTGTTCGATACTACTCCGCCTGGCGGTTTGTTTTCCAATTTCTTCTTTACTATCGCTGCTGATATGAACAGACAAGTTGCCAAGCCGAGTTCAGCGGACACGCTGTAAAATGTTATCGTATAGGATCCTGTCTGATCAGTTAACAGCCCTGAAAAACATACAAGCGTGTAGATGTATGCCGACATATATACGTTCAAGTCATACGTAGAATAAATTAACCTACTTTAACGTGGAAAATTGTTGCAGATAAGCAAAATATGAGAAAGGTAAACAATACATAACCAAAACGGAAATTATTTCTTTCAACATATCACTTCTTATTAAGGCGTTTTTAGGACAACAGCCATTAGCCATCGAATAGTGTGTGTAATTTCTTGCAGGGTTATGTTCCAAAAAATCTTTCCTAAGATTTAGCTATTAATTGAAGCAACAGTGCAATTTTACTAAATCAATCCTGCATAAGATAATAACAATATTAATACATAATGGTATGTAATACATATACATTGTGATACAAGTAAAAATTAATCATGTGATATCTCCCACATATAAATCTTATTTTGTGTGTGGGTTGATTGGATTGAATGAATAATGCCTTTATATGATTAGCATATAAAATGAGGTAAGGCATTTGAAAAGAAAACGTATGAAAAATCCTAAAAGTTTGTATTTTTTTTTTTTTTTTAAATATTTCACTTATACATAGAACAACAATTATTGAAATGTTTAAATCCATATGGGAAGGTTGACAGGCCTAAATCTTCATATATTTCATATACCAGGTAGTTGGTTAACGCACTAAAAACAACGCTCGCATACACAGTGTACAGTATCTAGCACACAGCTATGCTATATGGTCGCACATTTTGTGTGGTTTAATAAAACTGTTTTGCTAGTACTTAGGATTAAAAAGCAAACGGAAAACACGCGTAGTGATGGATCAATAGCGACCTCAGAGGTCTTAAAATTGATTGGTGATTCTTAAAGTCATTTTCAATTAGACAAATATGTAATTGCATATTTCGTCCAGTTATCCTATCGTGCGCACATCGCACGTCGTTTAACGTTGTGTGGCCCCACAACTGTAGATAAATAACTGTCACTTGAAGTCGTCGTCTACGATCAATTAAATCAGGATATTTGTTTTGTTTTCAACGCATCTTTCACAGAATTCATCTCGATAAAAGCCTCTTAGATCATACAAGGGACAGTGGAAACAAAGTCATGTGTACGAGTATTTAATAAAAATAAAATTTAAAGAGTTTCTTACCCTTTATCGGTCCAGAAATACAACTACTGATACCTAAGAGGGTCATCAGTAGTCCCATTCCGGCAGAATAGTTCTGGAGGTTCACCAGCTTCATAGTTGTCACGGAAAAAGAGGTAGTACACACACCATAGGTCATTCCATAAAAGACCAGAATGACACTATACTGAGTATAGGTTACTGCATGAGGGAAGAATGCAGTCACTATTGATCCGATTAACGTGAAGAACGCAGGAATTAGGAGAACATTGGTGTGAGGAATGTACTTTTTACACAAGGCTGGCACAAATCTACATGACAGGTTTCCAAGTTGGAAAAACAAATTCAGTAACATTGCTGTATCAGGTTTAAATCCATTTCCAATCAGAATATCAATTATGAAAATCATAGACGAGTTCATAGCTGAGAGTGCACAGCACAAAGCTACTACGTAAAGTATAAATACTTTATTGCTCAGTAATACCTGTAATGATTTCACAAACGTGTTCTCTTTAGGAGGAGAATCAACGTCTTTATCTACATGTTTTATTTCCTTTGAAATTCCGACCGAGAGTGGTTTGCATATACCAAAACAACAGGCCATATTTGCCAAAAGTCCTCCTATGATAAGTAGGCAACCTCTCCATCCAAACTCTGCAATAAGGTATTGAAGAATGTACGGAACCACTATAGCACCGCAACCTGTTCCAAAGGAGACAAATGACAATGCCATTAGCCTAGCATTTTCTTCAAAGTATTCACCGACGCTAGTTAGTGCTGAAATGACCGATGCAGAGAATCCCATCCCTGTTGGAAAAAGCACAAACTTTAAAAAGAAAGCTAACACTCTCTTTGTTATAGAAGCACATTCAAATGCAACAAGAAAATACCATAATTTTAGTAGAATAATAATCAAAACTCAAAAACGAAAGAAAAATTTACACGGAGACTACTGAAAAAGAGTACAACGAGAATAAGACCATGTGTTCTGGAAGAATAAGTGTTCTATGTTTCGTCGGCGAAACCCGTCATGTAAAAATGTAATGCCACGTTCTCAAATTAGAGCGAAGTAAAATCAAATGAAACAACAGACAAAGTACCGAACATCAAACATCCAGCTTCACGTCGAACAAAGAAAATATAATATTATCATAAAAATCTGTCACATACGTATTTCACAAACGTTTATCTCTCAAAAGTCACAGTGAAGAGTTTATCTGTTAGTGCCACGACCTTGCACGAAATTTGAAATATTAGGAACAGTCAATTGAATATTGAATCAACTGCGACATGTAAAAGGCATAGGCTTGTGATGCAGCGTATCGATACTCGATTATGTATAAGCATCGCAGACTTTTAAAATGCACACATTTAACACATGCACTGGCCTCGCATACATACCACCCCGATTCCTATGAAGATTTCGCCAGTTACATTTTCTCGTAATAATTTGATAGTATTTTAAACAGATTTTAAACAAAAAACCAGGGGAACTTACCTGATACAAGTCCAAGTGTTGTGATGAGATAGGGTATATTTGTGGCAAAGAAAGAGAGCACCATTCCGAGAGTTACTATTGCGCTTGCAGTAATACCGGTAATTCTAGCACCATATTCGGCTACAAACTTTCCAGACATTGCTCCTTAAATGAACAAGGATGACAGAAATAGGAATTCATATATTGCTTTAATACAAAAGTATTAATACAATAGCCATTAATAAAGGTTTTAATGAAATAATCATACCTCCTAGAGAAAGTACACCGACCGTTGTTGATTGAACGAGAGCCGTTTCCGCTTTACTCTTCCCAAAAGATCTGAGGAGCTCACTGTTGAGGACAGACATATTGTAGGCAAATCCAGGACAAAGAAACATGACGAAATATCCTGACAGCAACACTAACCACTTTCTTCTTCCTGGCGATTCCTCTTGAGTGTGATGTGCTTCTTTGTTGGATCTCAAATGATACGAATCAAAGGGGAACATGTTAAGAAAGACATATGCATATGTTCTTGTCAAAACGTTAATTGTAAGCATTAGAATATATGCATCTATAGCATCTTTTAGGTCACATGATTGACTTTTCCTGATCCATCATCGTTCGACGTTGTGCATTGTCCGTTTACAGTTCACTATTGCTTCATGGCCAATAACAAACTAAAATTTTAAGTTACTCTATCATGGGTCTGAGGTACTGGGTTAGTAGGAAAATCGCTTACATTTCAAACTTCTCCACAATGAGGTACTATAGAATCAAATTTTAAACTCATTATCAATATTTTGATTTTCTCAATCCCGAGTCCCTGTTTTCTTCTACATTGAACAAAAGTCACACAAATTAATTGCACCTTAAAGTACAAATTTAGAGCCAAAGAATGATTGTAACTGATCATGCAAACTGGTTCGCCCTTCTAAGACTTGAGTGATGCTAAGGGCCTAAAGTTCCAAGTTAGGAGGCGACTGAGGAAATTTAAAACGAAAGTCAACCCCTAAATAGGAACGTGTTCTAGCCCTTTATGTCCATAAATTTCGTAATTTCCATACATCTGACAATTTTAGAACAACGTCAAGTACATGAAATAAAGAGGATAGCACCTTTGGGATGTTCAGTTTATTTTATTGAAAAATAATCCAATTTTTCTATTTTGGTGTGTATTATTAGCATCAGATAGCACTTTGGTTTAATGGCTTGAAGATGCAAATGCCTACCCCCACCCGGTGGTCTAAAGAACGAGGAGCAAATGGGTGAATTTGCTTCTTTTTCAAAAGCGGAGTCAATGACAACATGCCATTTTGAGGCGTGTCTGTATTGACTCCTTTTTCATGTGTTAATCCTTTTATCTCAATACTGATGCACGAGGAAATCAAAACATATTAGGTTACTGAAAACCCTGAGAACCAACAGTCCACTAGCTCCAGTTTTAAGATTGAAATGAAGATATCACAAGTGGATAAGCACATTTCAATGAAAAAGTAAGAATGAAATCAGAACATGTGAACTGAAATCGGCATTTAGAAAAGAAAAGAAAAGAAAAAAACAACATAATTCCGCAGTCATGGTGCAAAATGGCCACCGTGGCTGCAATATCATACTTTTGACGAGGCTGAAACATGTTTGCCGGCTTTCTTTAAACATCCCTGATTTTTTATATCCGCAAAATAAAAGCAAACCATCTAACCATCTAAGACTCATTTCTGGCAAAAGCGAGCTGAATCGGAATAAGTGTTGTTAAGGAAAACTATGATTAGGCGGTCATGTTGGAAAATGACTATAACGACTGCATTGTTGAACATTCTTACGAGGCTGAAAATAACAACACTCTGTTGGCTTCATTTCTATAACATCTCCATCAGCTCCTATAAAAATGGAACATTATGGCGGGTATGACAGCATTTTCTAATTTCTGGCCTGTCCGGAAATTCGAAAGACTTATTCACAACTATCTCAAGATAATTGATTGAAAGCTTTAGGTGAATCCCACATGGCTCAATTACCATGTAACTTAAGAAGTTTAAAAGATAAAGTTTACGAATGGCAGACGGCACACGACAACGGACGAAATTTGAAGGTTATAGGTCATCAAGGTACTTGAGGTCAGATAAACCAAAACCGGACATATCAACACAATATTAATCCACACTCAAATAAATGAAATGATGCAAAGCACAACCAAAAGCCAGATTAACCAAGGTACTCTTGAATCGTTAACGTTAAAATGGCGATCAAAAAGCCCATGATTGACATCGCAATTATACTGAAATCCCACTTGTCGAACTCCTTGGGATCATGTCAATGATTCGAGGAATCAGAGGTTGGCCATAAATAGTCAGGTAGCGATCATCCGTGAACACCAAGTGTCCGTGAATTCTTTCATCTGACCAATTAAAGACGGTACTGACGTTTTGAAAAGTTTAACATTGTTCAATACCTTGGCATTGTCTGTTAAGAAATGCGTGATTTTCTAATACACCGTCCCGGTCATTTACGGCAAAATTCAACATGCAGCAACAACGTTGCTGAGGATTGCCTTTGAATAGTGTATAATTTTGCATCCTGTTACTTTAACAATTCCAGGTAATAGCAAAATGTTGGTTTCGTGTTCTTAATATACATTTGTTATCAGTTAAGCTCAACTGCTTTTAAAAAATCAGTGATGGCTGGTATGCCCTTCCGATTTTCGATAAAACGGTGGTCAAGTCCTTCTCTCGTTAGCCATGTGGTGTAGCATATGGCAGTATAATTATGTTATTATGGCACCGTAATTCCGAGCCATTAGTTATCTGTGACCCTTTCGGACACTTGTATAAAAACACCCATGAGTGTGTGAGCAGAAGTTGGACGCATGATACAAGTAAATTTTCGTGACACTTGTTCGACAAATAGATGGGAAATGCTATGAACATTTAAAAGGTGGGAGAGAATGAGCAATACATATCAGGAAAGAGGATTTTGAAGAATCCGACGTACCTGAAACTGCGTGCATACATCGTCCGCTCGCACGCACGATACAGTGTGTAGTGCACAACTTCGCGATATATACATAGAGAGAGAGAGAGAGAGAGAGAGAGAGAGAGAGAGAGAGAGAGAGAGAGAGAGAGAGAGAGAGAGAGAGAGAGAGCCGAGTGGTGTGCCATGGCAACAAGTATTGCCTGCATATGGGCATATAGGGGACAGGTCCGACCGGCTAGGTCTCTGGGGCAACAAACATAATGCTTGGAATCTTTTATTTTTTATCTTTACAAAATGATAGAAAAAGGAGAGTATTACTGCAGTAAAACATACAAAGTTTCCTTTCTGATGGTTTAAGATTTTAGAAGATTTGTTGTCGCGACAAAAGAAGATGTTAATTTAATGTTTACATAATTATATTTTGTATATATATGATTTTCGATACACTAAGAACGGTCGGTCACGCGAGGCACACCCTTAATTATGAAATGTACGTAGCTGTACTCTTATATGTTTAGAAAAAAAACATAAACCCAATTCCACACTTATTTATAAGTAGTTTTTAGATTTATAAAATAGAATCGCACAGCAGTGGGATAGTAACGCACATTGTTTCATCCAGTTTTCGTTTCGTGCACATTTTATATGCACATCGAACTTTGTAAGTGACAGGACATAGTCGGGCCACATAGGAAAGCTAAATCTGTTTTCAATATGGCGGTTTTTTTACTGTGTTCAACCAGGCAAAAGAAACATCAGGCAAGATCCGGGATAGATTCTTCTAAGAAAGTTGTAGAAGATGGAGCATATGCTTAATATTTGTGCAAAGGAAAGCCTCCACAGCTCAGCCATATTACAAAATGACAGTAGTAGCCTCGATTCCGAACTGATGCTAACAAACTATGAACTCACCTCGCGTATATTAGAAGTCATACCTTAAATTACCATAAAACATAAACAAAAAACAAACTAAACTTTTAACATCCCAACAAAATTGAACAGGAATGTTTCCACTGGTTTTAAAGAGATTTCTTCTGCTAGCCATCCCGGATCTTGGACCTATCCGAGAAAACAGTAGCACCTTTTAAAGAACGCCAGGGAATCCTGTCAATCATTATCCCCAAAAATATCCACCGACGGAAAATCAGGATATTGAAAATGTGGCTACAGAATAACACGACCATTCGGATAAGTAAAAAAACACATACATCTCTTGTGAATCCATCATCGAAATATTCTGGTCCCGAATAGCCTACCAGTGGTACAGCGAACAGCAGATCGTTTCGTCGCATCCAGGTCAAATGTTTTTTCATTAATTCAAAAAGTGCTGGATCACGGACAACATGTGTTTTGTAAACTGACAAAAAATTATATCACAATCAATGCATAAGCATTCGATGTTAACCTTACATTAATACATTATAACCATCCTAAAGTGATCGTTTTTTGTTCTTCGAATGTTGGATCCCCAGCCACGCACGCACGCACACACGCACGCACGCACGCACGCACGCACACACACACACACACACACACACACACCCTCACACCTACTCACAAAAAACACACACACTTTCAAACACACACACCCTCACACCTACTCACAAAACACACACACACACTTTCAAACACACACCCTCACACACACACACACACACACACACACATACATACATATAGCCTATTCGAAAGGTTACATATACAACAATATTCATGGAAATGAATACACAAACAAAATGTACATATTTTCATCACTGTAGTGTAACTACTTGTCATTGGAGTGCTCTCCCTTTACGTTAAACTTATCAGTTTATGTATCGTAAAATATTCAGTAAAAAAACTATTAAAAAATTAGTTATTGCCATAATTATATACCACCAGCAATGCATAAATTGTTGTTTTATACTATTATTTGTAAAATAGTTTCATTTCATATAACGTCAAAAACGATCGACACACGAAAAATCATAAACATGGTAAAAAGTTACAATAACTTATCCATATCATAATCCTCATCCGCGAATCGTTCACGGGTCAGTATTTATGCAATATCTCAAATAATTAATGATGACACAATCCAACATTGATGACATGAAGAAGTATTTCTAACCAATGCATAATTTGCCCACCATCATCTGATGGTGAGTCTTTAAGTTGCCCTTCGTATGTGATCAGGCGTTCACCATCATCTTGGTTTTATTAGTCATAAATTGTTCTCTTTTTCTGTAGTAATAGAATATTAAGGTTGTAGATTGTCTTTGGTCGCTTGTTGTGTCTTTGGATTTTGGGAATTGGTCAGAAATACAAAATGGATGACAAGCGACCATCTTGGATTTGATAGTTAAAGCTTATAATCACCATTTCCGAATTTTATAAAATAAAGAGCAAACACAAA